AATTTGGAGTTGAAAATGAAGGAGAAAAGAAGGCACTTTGTTGTTTCCAGCTTCCAGAATCCTCTTCTGTCCCTTCTTTCTGAAGGTTATTTTTTACTTTTTGTGTTGGTGACTTTTCTCCTTTTAATTCAGTGCGTAGTAGCAAAAATTTACAGCAAATGGCTCCTTCAGTACATTATTTTAATAATGAGGAAATAATGAAATACCAACTTATTCTGATGTTTTTCTTTCATTTAATTGGTTTTACTTTTCTTAAACTTCTGTGCATCATTTTCTACAGTGATTTTCAACTTAAGTGATGAGAATCTTTTTGCCACAAATTGCAAGCTTTTATCCAGAAGCAAGCTAGTAGCAAGCTCATGTAACTAGTATTTACATTTGTAGTTGTTCAAAGGAATTCATGGAGGCCCAGCCACATTTTGCTAGTCTGGAAAAAGTAGCTTATTCAATTATAATGTTAATGTTATTAGTAAGCAGATATTTTTTTTTTTTTTCTGAGACGGAGTCTCACACTGTTATCCAGGCAGCAGGACTCACTGCAACCTCCGCCTCCTGGGTTCATGTGATTCTCTTGCCTCAGCCTCCCAAGTAGCTGGGACTACAGGCATGCGTCACCACACCTGGCTAATTTTTTGTATTTTTAGTAGAAATGGGGTTTCACTGTGTTGGCCAGGCTGGTCTTAAACTCCTGACCTTGTGATCTATCTGCCTTGGCCTCCCAAAGCTAAGATTACAGGCATGAACCACCACGCCCAGTCTGTTGTGATTTTTAATTAACAATTTCTCTCTGGTAGGTTTGTAATAGGTAAGAATTGAATAATATTTAATCATAAGAATCTGCCTGTGGATACCAAACAATGAAAGAAGACCAATTTAGCAATAAGAATGTTGGCCATGGAGGATGAAGCCTGGGTACTAGTTTCAATTCTGCCACTTCATTTCTCTTCTCTGAACTGAGGTAGCTGAGGTAATTTGTTGATCTTTCCTTAAGTTTTGACATTCTGGAAAATCAGACAGTGTGTATGAGTCCTGTCCTCCAAAATAGGCCATAATTTCATTTTTTCACGACTGAGCACTCTTGCTGTCTTGTTCTAAATGAAAATAATGGTTAGTGGATGTTAGAACTGTATTGTCTGCTGTCATACAGCAATTACTGCAGGTTTCTTTAAATTATTATTTGTGAACGTAATTTTAGGCCCTATATCTTATCTCTGTTATTTTCCTTCATATGAGTTTAATACAAGTTATACTTGTCTAGGGAGTTCTAAACGTTTCCTGAATTATAAGACTAGGAATGTATCTGGTTTGTCCATGTTAAAATTGCTTTTTTTTTTTTTTTTTTGAGTTGGAGTTTCACTCTTGTTACCCAGGCTAGAGTGCAGTGGCATGATCTTGGCTCACTGCAACCTCCACCTCCTGGGTTCAAGTGATTCTCCTGCCTCAATCTCCCAAGTAGCTGGACTAAAGGCATGTACCACCACACTCAGCTAATTTTTGTAGTTTTAGTAAAGACGGGGTTTCACCGTGTTGGCCAGGATGGTCTTGATCTCTTGACCTCATGATCCGTCCGCCTCGGCCTCCCAAAGTGCTGGGATTACAGGCATGAGCCACTGCACCCAGCCCTATTTGACAGTTTTTCACCCACAAATAGGTAATTTCATATGCCTCAATTTAGTAATTATAGGTGAGTTAAATAGTTACCATACTGAGGTTTTACTTGAAAGATCTTTCTACCGGGCGCAGTGGCTCATGCCTCTAATCCAAGTACTTTGGGAGGCCAAGGCGGGCAGATCACGAGGTCAAGAGATCGAGACCATCCTGGCCAATGTTGTGTAACTCTGTCTCTACCAAAATACAAAAAATTAGCTGGGCATGGTGGTGGGCGCCTGTAGTCCCTGCTACTTTGGAGGCTGAGGCAGGAGAATAGAGGTTGCATGAGCCGAGATCTTGCCACTGCACTCCAGCCTGGCACAGAGCAAGACTCTGTCTCAAAAAAATAAAATAAAATATAGTCCAGGCGTGGTGGTGCATGTAATCCCAGCCACTCAGGAGGCTGAGGCAGGAGAATCGCTTGAACCTGGGAGGCTGACGTTGTGGTGAGCAAAGATCGTGCCATTGCACTCTAGCCTGGGTAACAAGACTGAAACTCCATCTCAAAAAAAAAAAAAAGGTCTTTCAACCTAAAAGCAGAATTGCCTTTTGTTTTATTGGGCATTCGTTGTTTATTCAATAAAAAGTACCTTTTGAATGCCTGCCCTGTGTCAGCCCTGTGCTAGGCCTCATGGACATGCCCATGAATAAAATAAACTTGTTCACTGGTTTCAGGAAGTCTGCACTCTAATAGAGGAAATAGGCAGTTAACTATAAACAATTCTAAAGTTACATGGGAGTTGTAGAAGAAAGAATACATACTGCCATACTGCATATGACATGAAGGATTTCTCATCTAAGTGTTCTAAAAGGTCTCTTGTTCAGAAATTATCCAGGTGTTGGATAGTTATGGTGGGATAGGGTTGTGCACAGTACATGTGGTCTTAAAAGTCAGGGGAACAGCATGTACTCAAGGGTGAGAAAAAGTTTGGCAGTTTCATAGGGTGTAAATGGAGATAAGACCAGAGGGGTGGTAGGTAGGGAACAGATCTTTGAAAGCTTCAGAAGACATATTTAAATTTTTGGGCAATAGAAGCCAATGAAGCATTTTAACCAGGCAGGTTATATATTCAGGTATATAAGGCAGTATGCAAAGTGGTTTTGAGTGTCCATCTAAAGGTAGATAGTCTTAATTCAAACCTAGTTCTACTGTATTATACCCATTGAATTTGGGCAACTTAACATTCATAGGCTTTAGTTACCTTATCTATAAAGTGGAATAAATGGAATAATAATAGTGTTTTATTGGTAGAGTTGTGCAAATTAACTTAATGTGTGAAATACTTAGTAAAATTCATAGTCCATACTAAGTGTAAATAACTTATTTTTTTATTTTTTATTTTTCTTATTATCTGTATTATCATTAGGCTTAGAAAGATCACTCTGTTACTTGCGTTAGAGTGGAGTAAGAATAATTGCATCGAGACCTGTTAATAATTCAGGCAAGAGATAATTTTGACCTGGTTTGGGGTAGTGGCAAAGGGATGGGGGAAAAGATGCAGTTTAAGAGGATTTCAGAGGTAGAATTCTTGGCACTCACTTGGTGATTGAATGTGGGAGATGAGGGAGAGGGAGGAATAAAAGAGTCAAAGTATTTTGAATCATTTTTGGAATGACAGTTATATAAATAAACCTGTAACAGCTGCACTAAAATGATATGTTAATCAATGTTTGAAGCTTTTTTTTTTCATTTAATAAAGTGTTATTTTTCCAAATGTACAGTTGCTTCGACTTGTTCATGCATCTTCACCAGCAGCTGGAGCATCTCCACCTTTGGTATTTCTGGTATAGATTACTTGAGCTCTGTGCTTTGAGATCAGTTTGATAAGTCCTTTACTAAGGAGCTCCTGAGGGGCTGCTCTGGCCAGGGTCTCGAATCTTCAGACTCTCAGACACCACAGCTGAGGTTATAAGTTAATAGTTGGGAACTTCCTTATAGAGTTTGTCATAGGTAGTTTTGCTTATCTTGAACTTTGCCTTTGAAGCACTTCTTTTTGGCCTTGTTCCCTGATTTGTTCACTGGGTCTTTGTCTTTCCTGGCTGACTTTCCAGTCTCTTTCTTCTTCTTCTTGTCCTTGGGTGGCATTGTGAAGCTCTGAGAGCAGTGGCAAACACTGCAGCCTTGCTAAGATGTCGGACAAAAAGCTAATTTTTACCAAATAATAAGTGATAGATAATGTCCACAGGTGAAACTTAAGAATTTGAAGAACTGAGATAATTTCTCATCTACAAGTAGTTAAATCTCTGAATAGGGAAAAAAAGAAATATAATTTGAACAAGTCTTTTCCCTTTTTTGTTACATTTCATTTCTCGTTCTGCATTTCTTTTTAATTCTATCATTTTTGTTATTTTAATTATTTTGCTTTTAAAGTAGTTTTAATTTTATTACGTTGAACCATATAGAGGTTGCAATGTTTGCAGGTCAGAAAATATTTAACTAGCAATGAAATGGTTAAGTATTGGTAAGTTCGTAATTATATTCTTGTTCTGTAAGAGGTTTTAACTGGCATTGTGGGAGTCCATTTTGAGTTAGATTGAGTACCAAAGACTGTCTGAAGGAATGTTGCTCTGATGGCATAAGAACAAGTGGAACAGAGCCCCATGAAGTCGACACCTTCAACCCAGCATTATTCTTTCTTGCTAAGTTAATATGGCTATGAGTACATAGAAATTGGAAAATTCAGACAATATAGAAAGCTATAAAGAAGAAAGATTTTTTTTTAATGACTGTTATCCCACCATCCAATGATAGTGCTGATTTTTAATGTAGTTCCTTTTAGTCATATGTATGTGTGTATATATATATATATATATATATATGCAGAGTTACTCTGCCTTCACAATAATTATAGAGAGAATAGATCATGAGACTGCATTATTTTATTTTTTATTGTATTTTTAATCAGCTTATAATGTACATATTTATGAGGCATATGATGTTTTGATACATATAGTATATAGTGATTAGATCATGGTAATTGGATACATACCCACCAGCTCTAACATTTATCATTTCTCTATGCTGGGAACATTCAGTAACCTCCTTTTAGCTATTTGAAACTATATGATATTAACTGTAGTCATCCTACAGTGGTATAAAACACTAGAATTAAACTGTGTTATTTTAAAGAGGAAATGTACATACAGATATTTTGTTAGGGATACAGATTTATAGAGCCTCCCCAAGTCATTAATAATTTGTCTCTTTTGAAGAAAATGTTTTTCCTTAATCCAAAACAAAACATTTAATTCTTCATTGATTCAGTTAAATGTGGCTATTAGGCTTTTTTTTTTTAAGTTTCTTAAATGAATGTTTTGATTGTAGCTTCTAGAGTGATTTCACTAAAATAGAAACAAAGTTGAAAATTGTTACTGTACTATAATGACAGTAATGTAACAGCTTGTAGTTTTATTGCAATTTTATAAATTTTTAATTCTTTCAAATTTTCAGCCATTGTATTTTCTGTTTTTATCAGCATAACTGTCATGTTTTATACATGAGAAACCACAGAGAGAATAAGTTACATGCCCAAAATCACAAGTAGTAGTAGAAAGTCCTACACTTTTTACTTTGGTTAATTCTTTTTCTGTTTATTGAAATACAATAGTAACTTTCAAAAATCACTCCTTTATTCAGTATTTATTAAGTGCTCAGTGAATACGATTTAAAAATAAAGTCTATGACAAGTGTATAGAATAAGGAGTAATCTGATTTGGCTGGAGGGCAAGGTATTTGGGGGAAAGTAAAATAATTGAGATCAGGGTAGAAAGGCAGTAAGGGAGTTATAGACTCTTCTTGAACAATGGAGTACAATAATGTGTGCATATTGGATATTTAACTAGGCAGAAATGAAAAAATTAGAAAAATGAACAAAACTCTAAGTCTAAGTGATATTCATGTTGTAAGGTAAGTATTAAAAACTGGAAGGAGGAAACACATTTGAGAACTGTTTTGGAAATACATTTTCAGGACTTGCTGGACTAAGAACAGTGCTTTGAGGGAGAGAGTAGATGATTCCTAAGTTTCATACTGGAATGCCTGGAAAAATGTTGGACAATTACAGAGGATTATTTGCTAGGAAAAGGTTTTTTATTTTGGACATGCTGTGGTTGAAATCTCTACGGGACATCCAGATGGAAGATGTGTGGCTAGCAGGCAAATTGTAGATGGAAAAGGGAGCTGAGGAGTGAAAGGGCTGGAGACCTAGGCAGAGAAATTATTTGTGTTGAGGGAATAATCGATGTGGTATCATCATTCCTTTTTTCCAGGTACCTTCAGTGCTTTGCATATGCATAGCCTCAGTGTATTTGAGTAATGTGTGACAGAACTGTATTCAGATAGCTGTTGTATGACTTAAAACTGTACAGCCTCAGTAAGAGTGGGCACTTCAGGATTCAGAGGAGCCCAGCCTTAAGCATGTCAACATGATTGGCAGGAAAACACTGGTTCTTCAGGCAGGCTAATTTAGTTGTAAGAGCAGAAAGTGAGTAAAGTTATATAACCTCTCTGTGCTAGGTGTTGGTATTATGTCCCAACAACCCTGTGAAGTGTAAGGAGTGTTGTTCCCATTTTACAAATGATAGAACAGAGGCTTACGAGAGGATAAGTAATATTAGAGCAAGAATTTGCACCTGATCAGTGTTCCTTCCATGCTATTGGTCTTTTTACTGTGCCACACTTTGCTCTATTTCCCAATAAGACCTGTCAAATATTACTATCAGGCTTATGCTTAAGTAGGTTTTTATTTTGGCATCATGGCTGCATCTGGGACTGGCCAGACAGCTGCTGCTGCTTCGGATTTAAAATGTAATTCATTGCATTCTGATTATGGGTGCCCATTTATCTGTAATAAGAAAATGTGTATAAAATGAGTAAAAACGAAAGTTGGATCACATGTTTTTGCTCAGGTGCATACCTTTTGGAATGCTTTCAAACACCAACATTTGTTTATTGTCTCAGAGATCCCTGGAGGAAAAGATACTAAAATTACACATTTTCATAGCATTCTATTAGCTGAAAATTGTCAACATTTATGACATTACCAGGAAAACCACAATCTAATCCCAGTTTGCATTGTTTTAAGTAGGCAGAAACAAGATTGTATATTCTAAGATACAAAGGCTTATTTGTGCCATGAAACTTCCTGTAATATTCATGCCTGAATAGAAGAAGGTACATTTTCTTTTTTGTCTTTTATTTATATTCTTGTATACTGCTCAGCAAAATCGAAGCAAGAAACAGCGTCTCAAAACTATAGGGTAGTGTCAAATACAGGAACGATGTAATTTCTCTGTGCTATTTCTGTAGTATTCAGAATAGGAGATACTTTATTTTTCTCTTGAAAAGTGATTTTAAAGTTTCTTGGCCAATATTCAGTGAATCATGAGAGACAAAATTAATGAATAGCCTTCTAGCTAGAACTTCTTGTACAGCTGAATTATGTTTCTCAGTTGCCATACGCCATACACTTAAAGGAAGTTAACATGCTTCCTTTCTTTAATATTGCTCTTTGTTCTTTGGGAAAATGCCGTAAGAAAATAGGAAGTACCCCTCTAGCAGTGTGTTTCAGTCTAATTACTGACACTGACACCCTGTTCTGTTACTACCCCTTCTCCTTGCTAGCAGCCTGAATTCTGCTTATCTACTAAAAGAGGGATTCCAAACAGACGAGGAAACAGCTTTCAAATGATATACTATAGGCGTACCAAGCTATTCCCACACTGCGCAGTCTGGAAATCAGGGGGCACCTCTTTGACGATGAATTCCAATTAGTTGCTAAAGATGCCAGTGTGTGTGCGTGTACAGGCGTTTTCTTTCCCCTCCCCCTTTCTTCCTTTTTCCAAGCCCCCTCTTCTCCCTGTTTCCCCTCCTACTCCTTTATCCCCTCCCTCTGTGTCTCAGTTCTGCAGTAGGCAGGGTTGAAGCACATTCCTGCTCTGCAAGGCTTTCTGTTAAGGATGTATTGTGGCTTTTGTTTGGATTGCAGCATGCAGAATTACAGGTAACATTCTGAAATTGAACTAAACAGTAAATTCTGTTGAAATGTTTTCAAAGAGGCAAAATATTATATTGGAATCAGTGAAGAAAATAAATTATCTTGGCTAATTTTATTAGTGATAAGTGTAGTGAAAGATTTTCATAAATGTTGCTAGCAAATTTCTTTTCTCTCCCATGTCTCAAATGAAAGGAAATGGGGGTAAATCAATCTAACCGTGATTCATTTTGTTTTATGCTGATCTTGAAAGCTTGATGTTGCTGCTGCTACTCTATACCGTACGGATCAGTTATATGGGGTGCTATTGTGGGTAGCCATGAATAGTGGTGCCGGTAGGGGTGGAGTGGGAGGGATGATGCCAGCCTGAGCTAGCCAGGTTCTTTGATTAGGGCATTGGATGTGAAATGTAAAATGCTCTCTCCTTTTCTTCTATCAGCTGTTCAGAGGAGACTCATTACAACTCCTGCTGAAGCTCCTAATCTTCTTCCCTTCTCTTCTGCCCTTTCCCCCTACCCTCACTTGGCCTGAAGACGTTGTCCCCAGAGTTTGCCTTACTCCCCTGGTGCTATGTGTATGATGAACTTGGCATTATGGCCGCGTTTGGAACTGGCCAGACAACTGCTGCTGGCTCTCCTTATTCCAAGAAGGATTTAAAGGGGAATTGCACTGCAGGCAATGCACCACAGCAGCAGCATCAGGAGCTTGGGGACTAAGGCTCCTCTGGCATTATTACATACATGCAAAGCTGACCGCAATGACAGCGGCTGCTCCTTTGAACTGTTGGAAGCAGCCAAGCGGCAGCATGAAGTGACAGATCACTCCAGAGCTCAAGATGAACTCCACCTTGGATGGTAATCAGAGCAGCCACCTTTTTTGCCTCTTGGCATTTGGCTATTTGGAAACTGTCAATTTTTGCCTTTTGGAAGTATTGATTATTGTCTTTCTAACTGTATTGATTATTTCTGGCAACATCATTGTGATTTTTGTATTTCACTGTGCACCTTTGTTGAACCATCACACCACAAGTTATTTTATCCAGACTATGGCATATGCTGACCTTTTTGTTGGGATGAGCTGCCTGGTCCCTTCTTTATCACTCCTCCATCACCCCCTTCCAGTAGAGGAGTCCTTGACTTGCCAGATATTTGGTTTCGTAGTATCAGTTCTGAAGAGCGTCTCCATGACTTCTCTGGCTTGTATCAGCATTGATAGATACATTGCCATTACTAAACCTTTAACCTATAATACCCTGGTTACACCCTGGAGACTACGCCTGTGTATATTCCTGATTTGGCTGTACTCGACCCTGGTCTTCCTGCCTTCCTTTTTCCACTGGGGCAAACCTGGATATCATGGAGATGTGTTTCAGTGGTGTGCAGAGTCCTGGCACACCGACTCCTACTTCACCCTGTTCATCGTGATGATGTTATATGCCCCAGCAGCCCTTATTGTCTGCTTCACCTATTTCAACATCTTCCGCATCTGCCAACAGCACACAGAGGAAATCAGCAAAAGGCAAGCCCGCTTCAGCAGCCAGAGTGGGGAGACTGGGGAAGTGCAGGCCTGTCCTGATAAGCGCTATGCCATGGTCCTATTCCGAATCACTAGTGTATTTTACATCCTCTGGTTGCCATATATCATCTACTTCTTGTTGGAAAGCTCCACTGGCCACAGCAATCGCTTCGCATCCTTCTTGACCACCTGGCTTGCTATTAGTAACAGTTTCTGCAACTGTGTCATTTATAGTCTCTCCAACAGTGTATTCCAAAGAGGACTAAAGCGCCTCTCAGGGGCCATGTGTACTTCTTGTGCAAGTCAGACCACAGCCAACGACCCTTACACGGTTAGAAGCAAAGGCCCTCTTAATGGATGTCATGTCTGAAGTGGCTCAGATACGGAGTTCCCCTGTGTATGTATGTGTTTTATCTCTAAGTATTTCTAATTCACTAGAAAATCTGGGACAGAATACTTTGACTCTAAGCAATAGCATACAAATGGTTTGTATGGATACCTTCTAAGTTTGTAGAAATGGTTTTCAAAAGTGCTTTTGAAGACTCAAGATCATGAAGACAAATTGCTCTTGGTTCCAATTTTTGAAATGTTTTGGAAATGACTACAGTTCTCAGATTTAAAATGAATAAAGCCATATCTAACACCTCTCTCCAGCTGGCATGACTGAACCTGGGTGTGAAAAGCATCAGCATTTTAAAAAGTCATCATTTTCTTGTCACTTTCTGGGTTCTTTCCAGCTATTTGGGCTTCATGTGCAATTGATTTCTTCTAACAGGGAGTAGTAAAACATAAATTAAGAAGTTTTAGAAATTACTTTTTATGTATACTAAAGTATAACTACACTGCAAGTTTCAACACTGTCATTTAGAAAGCCAAATGTTCTATATTTTATTCTCTTGAGAGAATTCTCAGTAGGGTGAATAATGTGAACATATAAACATTAATTTTAGAATTCTACAGTGAACCATGAAGCAAAAGTACAATCAACTTATACAGTTTATGAAAAACTGAGCTATTTTTTGTGCCATGCTTCACAGAGATCTAAAAATAAGTGTGCATAGAAGTGATCATGTTTGTAGTATTTTTGCCCATGCCTTTGTGTTATGTCTATATTTAGAATATCTGAATTGTTAGATTTCTCTTTTATAGCAAAATGTGTTTAAATAAGCTAAAAAGCAATTGATAGGCTGTTGGCTGTCGATTTTATACTGGTGACTATATATAAAAATGTGTTATTAATATTCTCTGTTCTATCCAAAGACTTCCAAAATATTAGAACATCAGAGAGAAGGGTATCTGCCATAAGCAACTGAGTCAGAAAGTATACTGTAGTATACTGTTTGGTTTTTTTTTTTTTTAAATAGAAGGGAGTTAAGACATTTTCTTTGTGGTTAAATGGAATCAACTAATTATTTTGGAAAAGTATTCTTTCATTTAGTATTAAGGAATGCACATATGAAGAAGGGAAGGGGAAACTCTCTAAGTCTCTTACTGCTATTCTCTTTCTGGAAAAAAAAAAATCCTTTGGCATACAGTTTTTAATAGTCTTTTTTTCCCCTTCCAAAGTACTAGCAAAACCTACTTGAATTTATTCTTCTGTAAAATTATTATTGAGAGTTATGTGTTTGTATGTACTAATGATGTTCATTCTATGACGTGATTATCTTTAGAGCAAGAGGTTTATTTTTCTAAAATGAGAGAAGGAATTCCGGCAGCTCTAGGCATGAGAGTATTTCCTCTACTTTTGTGCTGGTTTTAATGTTTTGAAAATCTTAGGGGACTTACTTGAGCTCTCCCTTTGGTTAGATGTTGTAATCTGAATGCCACAGTAGTGATCAGTGAGATGGAAGATGGAAGAAACCCGGGGAACATGGGTTAAAGTGGATTTCTGAATCCGAGAAAGGACTTGGGTCTTTATAAAACAGGCAGATAAGCTTTGGTTTTCCATCATGATGCCAGTGTTCTTAGGATTTTAGGCTTTAGACATCAACTTGACTTTAACCTCAGTTGTGTTCTATTTAAACTTTTTTAAGTGACTAAGCATTATATAAATATTCAAACTTCAGATTCTGGGTTTTTCCCAAAAGCTTGCTTGCTCTTTATGTTTAGTGTTAGCAAATTTTATTCTAAGCTGTTTCAAAATTTAGAACTCATACTGAAATCACAAGTTATGTTAGAAATGGCTTGGTTAAATCGTCATTTCATGTGGGAAAACTATTCTGTTGGATTCTGAAAAATCTTTGTATTGTATACATCTCCCCTTTAAGTGATACAGATCTTAAAAAAACAAAATTTACCTTTTTTTAGTATGTTAGAGAATGTAACCTGTTCATATTTGCAGTTTGCTTATGAATTTCTAGCTTAGAAAATATGGCAATTTAAAACACTTAATTTTTGTAGAAAAATTTGTTAAATTATTAGGTTTGATCTGATTTTGTTGTGTGTATATGTGTTGGGGAAGAGGAGATGCTCCTGGACGCAGTAATGTCCTCTTCAGTGGCTGGGGGTGTTTTCTATGTGATATGTTTGGAAAGTTCATGTTTAACTGATCTTTTCATCCTGGAATATTTAATGCAACATTTGATGACATTTAGTTTAAATACCAGACTTCAAAAGAAAGTATATTTTTACACTCAATTACCTTGGTGTTGATAGGATAGCTCATTTAACTTTATATGTGACTGATATCAGAGGAAACATATGCTTTTGGTGATTATGTTGAAATTATTTCATGGTAAATTTTAAACTAGGCTAATGTTATATTTGTAAACTAGTTTCAGTGAAAGTGGTTTGTTTTTTGCCCCCTTCTTAGAGTAGAAAAGCAATTACAAATAAACTAGTATGCTCTACTCTAGTGAGAGCATGATCTTAACACGAGAATGGATATTTACAATTTTTCATCAGCCTGTTGACTCTTACCCAAAATTTCATTTTGGAAAAGATTTTCTTTAAGCTTTATTGCTGGATAAATTCTTTTCAGGCCTTTTATGATGGCTTTTCCTTTTTACTTGAATAATAGTCTCAGTATTTTAAGGATTGGGAAAACTTGAATTTTTGTACCATAAATGCATTGTCCACCTCCTTGAACTTGAAAATGAAGCAACAGGGTTATAGACTCCCAGATGGTGGAGTGGTTTCTGGGAGGGTTTTTCTTCAGCTTTTCAGGTTTGTTTGAAAAATCTGCACAGTGACTTGGTATAGGAATTATCTTAATTTCTCTGACTGTATTTTTGTTTCATAAGTGGTTCATGAAATAAATTATCAGCAAGCCAGAATTTATTGTTATATGAGCAAAGTTTGGGAAGATTAAGAATGGGAAATTTGTGGCATTGAGATTTTTTTAAAGTCCTCATAAATCATTTTGTGTGTTGATTTTTGTATAATTTTTTCATTTCGGGTAGAAGAAAAACTAAATATAAGTATTTATATTAAATTTAGATATTATTATTATGTTGCAGACCTTGGAAATATTGTAGACATTTCTCATGGCTGTAAACAAGTCATTTGGCCTTTCTTTAAAATTTGCGTGACAAAAGGGCATCCTATAGTAAAAATGAAGTTGGAACTGAGAATTTTAAAATGTAGGTTTCTGTTTTTAAGTAGTTTTGTAAATGAGGACAAGTCACTTCTCTAAGCACTTAATTTCTTGTGAAAGGAAGTATTGATCCTTCATACCTCATACTGTTAGTTCGAGGATTGAGTTAAATAATGGATGTGAAAGTACTTTGTAAATCATAAAGTGCTTTGCAAATAAAAATGATTGCTATTATTTGTATCTACCATTCTTCTACATGTAAGGAAGCCATACATCATTATGTGTTCCCTCACACTTAGATCTTTGAAGTCCAATGCTACATCAATGCTCTTTGCTACTTAGCAATCCCAGATCTGAGAAGAGAAGCAAAATACTCACCCTCCTAAAATGATAGTAGCTTTAAATTCAGCATAAAACCACTTTGATTTACTTGTCTCCAAACTCTCTGAAGGCAAGGGACAGTGTCTTTTATCTGTCTGGATAATATTTTTATCCCCACAATCTGATATGAGATCTGGCTCAGAGCAGAAGTTTTATAGAATGAATAAATGACTCTGTAATGATTGCATCTAGTCACCAGCCTTTTTCTTTCTGTAAGGAATTATAGGACAGTGATGTTCAGAAGATAGTCCAGAGCCCCATAACCAATCTTCCATTTGCCCTAGGTTATTTCAGATTTTAAATCTTAAATAATATCTTTTTGGTATCAAGAGATTAGTGTGGTAATGTGAGTCCTCTATATGCTTAGGTAACTTTACTCCTGGAAACTCTAGCTTTGGCCCAGAGAGCTTCAGGCAGTGCTTTCAAATTGCTGGTTTTTCACAGCATGGAATAGGTATTTGGATCACACCTTCTTGGCTCTGCATCCAGATAAGGCTCTGTAAAATTGGTCACAAGGGCAGAGGAAGTATAGAAAGCCTTGGTGAAAGAAACTTTCTGTGTGGTTTTGCTTGGTCTTCCTTTCAGCCTTTCCCAATTTTCTAGGTCTGTCTTTCTTTCCTCCTTTCTTTTCTTACCACACTATTGCTCATGTATCCAGAAAGAAGTATTTCTTTGATACTGCCATAGGGTGTGGAAAATTGTATTATGTAAGAGCAGTGGGTTTTAGGGAAAGTTTAAGAAACAATCAAGAAGCACTTATCTAGTAAGTTCTGCTGTATGCCAGGTAATGTAACTAGCCTCAGGCAGGGATCATAGGAGGATCATTTCTTTCTTGTAGAACCATATAGTCTTTAGGTGTTCCATGTGGAAAAATTCTGTGATTATCAGTCTTCCAGCAAGCTCAATGTTTTCTACTTTATCTGCAAGAATTTGCCAAGGCTTCCTGGTGGGCTACTCCCACAGCACTGTTTTTTGGGGGGATGCAATTATATGATGCTGGTATATAAAATCATAATGTCAGTTTATTAGTTTAAAAAATAGATGCTGGTGATTGAGCGCGGTCTTCTCTATTATTAAATATTTATGGGAAGGCAAACCATATTCAGAAGGTTGCTTTGTGGGAATGGAATCTCAGAACATGGTTCTGTAATGTGAACATTATTGGGATCATAGTAAAAGATGAAATCATCCCTGCTTCCATTATTAACTAACCTACCTTCTCATTGACATGCTACAATATTTCCTTAGTTCAATTAACTTCTTCTGTTACTTGTCTTTTAGTTAAATTCCTTGCAAGTCTTAGTAGTCTGCAAGCCTGCCACTCATTCTTTCTCTTTAGGGTGGTTTTATATCCCCAGCCTTATCTCTTATCATAAAACATACTAGTTTTATGACTTATTCAAAATTCACCTTTATTCTTGGCATTAGTTTGGGGAAGCAGCTCATCTTAGTTTTCATGTAGTACCTAGTTAGAAAAGCAAAATGCATGAGACTTCCTGTAAAAATTAATAGTATCCGATAATTAGGGTTGTGATATTCAAGTTAGATCATGACTAGCAAGGGAGGCAGGGAGAGGCAGATGAGTTGGAAAGGACCTTAGAAATCATTTGGTCTGACTTTGTTATTTTGCAGATGAGAAACCTGCCCAGTGGCTACTGAGTTATCTATTTATGGTAATACCCAGACTTCATGCTACCTAATCCATTGCCCTTTTCTAGTACATCGCATTGCTTTTACAGAGGTGTTGGAATTTGACTTGACTCAGCCATGCCATGGGTGGGCACATGTGTACATGTGTGTAATTCTAAGGATAAGAAGTATGAGCAATAATATAAATGTTAATTGAGGCTCATTATGTTTTAGGAGAATTTTATAAACTTGATGTTAATACTTCCAATACTGTAGGAGCTAGTATCTATTATTAAACAGATTTTGAGTTGCCAGAGTCAGACAGCTTGTAAGTGGAAGATCTGGAATTCAAACCCAGAACTTCCTGAATCCAAAGCCTACAATCTTATATTAATTTTTTTCTTACATTCTACATTTAATTTTCACAGCAACCTATCAGGTAGTAAGCCTGTGAAGAAACACAGAGAGGTTAAGAAGCTTCTAAGTTTACATATATAGTATTATATGATTCAGATCCAATTCTTTGACTCTAAAGCTTGTGTTCTGTACCATTATATAAGTCTCGGCTTGAGAAACATATGACAGACCGCCTGCTAAATATAGCAGGTTGAATATGCATATTTCTGTTAACTCCACTATAAAGAATAGCAAAGGTATACATGTGGACACAAAGAACAGAGATGGTGGCAGACAGTGATGCCAGCAAAATTTTGGAATATAGACATCTAGTGGACAAGTTGTAACTGACTGAGCAGAATCAACAGAGCTGCTTCCTAAAATCAAATGAGGAAGAGTAGCAAAAGAAACAGACTGATGTATCCATTGACTGCAGTAACTACATAGGAATTAGATTCCTAAGATGTCCCTATAAACATAGAGACTGAAAAACAAGAATTGATAGAAGCTGAAAAACAGAAGAATTGATAGAAAGTTTATATGAGGAACATTTAGACATCATCACCCCTCACTCCTCTTCCCCATCCTACCTGAATCCCTATCCCAAGCAGGCAACTCATTTTTACCATCGAAGCAGAAGATGGGAGATTTACTCTTTGGAAAAGCTGAACCACTCTGGATGCTAGGCATAGCTGAGAATGGGACTAAGGTGTGCTTTGTGGCAAACATGACTGCTGTAAGAAAGTCTGTATGTTAAATAATTAGCCCTTTGCCCCACTACACTCTCAGAATGTTCTAAACAGGATATAAGAGGAGTATATTTTGGAGACTGACATTTGAGGGCTCACAAACAAAACAGCCACATTCTCTGCCCAGTCACTTTAAGGTGATGCCCATCAATCAACAGATCCTACCCATGCACACAGAGCTCACAGTTTTTTATTGCTTCTCTTTTAATATTAACAGATAGCCAGAGATCAATGCAGTTTTGAGAAAACGTTTTCACATAAAGTACAGAGCCAAAAACAAGCAAATGACAAAAATTAGAAGAAACAGTGTACATTGCTGAAGAAAACTTCCAAAAAAACTCAACTGTAACTAACATTTTCAGAGAGTATTTTGCATCCATTAAAGGAGAAGAGAACAGAGTGCCATAAAAATGAATAGGAAGAGGGCGGAGCACAGTGGCCACACCTGGCCGAGGTAGGTAGATCACAAGGTCAAAAGATAGAGACCAGCCTGGCCAACATGGTGATAAAAATGTAAACAAAAATATAAAATTTTTGTATTTTAGTCTCTTCTGAAAATACAAAAATAAGCTGAGTGTGGTGGTGTGCGCCTGTAGTTTCAGCTACTCTGGAGGCTGAGGCAGGGGAATCTCTTGAACCCGGGAGGCGGAGGTGGCAGTGAGCCAGAATGGTGCCACTGCACTCCAGCCTGGCAGCAGAGCGAGACTACTCCTCAAAAAAAAAAGGACGAGAACAAGAAAGAACGATTGCAATTTAAAGTATAATGAGTTGTTTATTTAGAAAGCAAGTTAGAAAATGAAGTAGGCCAGATAGTGAAACAAAAAGACAGAGAGAGAAAATAGATGAAAAAGAAAAACAATTGGAGGCTTAATCAGGGAAACCCAATAGCTGACTAACAGGATTTTCAGAAGCAGAATAGAGGAAAATAAAGGAAGAAATTATTAAATATACAAGAAAATTTTCCAGCGCTGAAGGGTATGTGTTTCCATAATGAAAAGGCCCAATTCAGTGTAATAAAAAGATTCACATGATGGCAAATTGTTATAAAATTTCGGGACAATGGGGGATAAAATTTCCTAAAAGGTTCTTGAATGGGGTGGGGCGTGGATGGTAGAGTCTAAACATACAAAATATAGGGATTTGTGTAGCAGTGGACTTTCTGCCATGTTGAAGCAAGAAGGTAATGGGTAATCGCTTCAAAATTTTGGTGAGAAGTGATTTCCAACCCACAGTTTTATGCCCAAACAGTCATTCAAGTGTGAGGGTAAACTAAACTCATTTTGAGATCTGCAAAATCACACAGTATTCACCTGCGTTACATTCTCAGGAAGTTACTGAGGATATGCTTCTCCAGAATGAGGGAGGAAATCAAGAAAGAGAGAATCCAGGAAACAGGGTCTCTGACACAGGAGGATGGTGAAAAGAATTCCCACAGGAAGGAAAGCTCTAGGAAGGCAATTATGCAGGAGACCTAGAGAGCAGCCATTCTGAATTGGAGCAGGAAGAAAGAAGGTGCTCGGAGGTATGTCTCTGGGAAAATATAACTGGCATTTTCACCATAGTGAGAAGAACTTAGTTTTGTCACAATTTTAGGGGAAGGATTGGTGATAGATACATATAAAACCAAGGAAAAGGAAAAGATAGGCAATTAATAACTTCAGAAAAAATAGAAAATTGAAGAAAGGAAATACAATTATGACATACTCTGATTCAGTTATGTGCTACTGTGTATAGTTTGATTTTTAGCTGAAAAAGATAGCAACACTATGTTGACAGGGTGAGGGGAAGGGAAGTATTTGAGGGGTCAGGGTAAGGAAGGTGGGTATAACAGCTACAGTAGCATCTTCCGTACTATAAAGCCTGAAACTGATGGCTAAAGTGGAAAAACCCATAAAATAGCAACTTAAGCATTTTATTCAGAAATATGAATTAAAAACGAACAGCTTAAAAAAAAGGAGATATGAAAATGCTTGCCTCTAAGGAATAGAATATGAGAAGTGAAGGGAATTTCATTGTAAACTTTGTACTATCTGACCTTTTCATTTATGTAGGTATATTATTTTCTGTAAAAACATAGACCAGATT